TTACAGAGACATGATTTATGCAAGTATGAGAAGGGTTTGTCCAACGCTCAGCCTGATTGAACATAGGCTGCTTAACATGAGCTCTTACATTTGTCTGGTGATAACAAACATTCACATGCCTCTAACATTAAGTGATTATTTGATATAGACATACTGACTCCAACACACTCAGCAAGATTATTTCTCAGCCTGTTGCTCCTCCATGACAGTAGTTCACTTGGAAGGGAAAATGATCCATATAAGAAGACACTTAGGCCAAATCAGGTCAGAACAATACTTAACGCAATTATGTGAAACGTTTAGTCGAATTGCATGTCATTTAATGTGTCAGAGTGATCTTCATTAATTCATTAGGCGCTATAGCACGAATTATTGCACGCCATTGCATTGCCGAATGTGTCGGTGTTACAAATCAGGTTCTTCCTCGACATCAGGTCTCCGTAAACTATATAACAAGTACACACAAACAGTATTAATTTAAAATATGTAGCTTACATATTTACTATGTAATAAAACAAATACTATAATTTCTTTCATTTGAAAATCTGTTAATTAAGTAAACTAATAATTGAACATCATTATAACAGATTGTTATACAGTATAAAGATCATTGTGGTATATAAGCTAAGCTATCAGGCTAAATGGGTATCTCTATGCTATGCTAGTATTTAAGCTAACTAAAACAGACATTAATGGTCATTATAATGCAGTTCAAATGACATATAATGTGATAATGTAGGAATTGTAATCAAATTAAGAGAGTACCAATTAGAAGGTCGAGCCAATGGGATCACTTGGAGACCTTAATCAGGTTAGACGGCATGCATACTGAATTTAACACAGAAGAAAACAAGGCTGTAAGGAATAAACGTAACGCCTTTACAATGGCACACACTTTATAAAGGTCCTAGATCACGTAATTTTCACAACTCACAACTTTTAAACTGTTTTGTGGAGTTTTTGTCTACTGATTTTTTTTCTTTTTCGGAAAGACGTTTTGTCAGCTGAACGATGGTATGTTGTTAGACAAACTGAACAATGGTATGTTGTTGAATGCACTGTACTTCTATCCCTCACAGCCTGGTTTTCATTCCTGTCCAAAATTAAATATGGTACTACTCTGACTAAGGTCTATGGAGTCCCAATTTTAAAGGAGGACCTGATTTGTCACAACACAGACACATTTTATAACATGCACGAATTCCTGTTATAGCGCCCCTTGCAGCAGCGCCGAGAATGCAGCTCATACTTGCATTGGTTATTCTCACCTCAAACTAAATATGCCAAAATGAATCTAGTCAACACTGGAGGAGAATTTAGAGTGAGTAGTATGAACATAGAGTAGGTCCATTTTTGGGGGATATGCAAGACATTTTAGAAGGTGTTTTGGTCTGCTTAAGGTTTCTGAGAGATCACATGGATTGACTAATGCTTTGTTTAAGCTCTAAACTAGTCACAAACACTAGAGGGAAAAGAGATTGTGTGTGCACCTATAACACCCTCAGAAATAAAGGTACAACAGCTGTCACTGGGGCGGTACCTTTTCAAAAGGTACACTTTTGTAACTATTAGGTTCTAATATGTACACTTTAAGTACCAATATGTACCTTTAAGGTACCAAAATGGACCCTTTAGGTACAAATAAGTACCTTTTGAAAAGGTACCACCCCAGTGACATCTGCTGTACCTTTATTTCTGAGAGTGTACAGTACAGCAGACATTTTAAAATGCAGACAAACTGGTATGAACATTTGGTTTTGAGATTTAAGATTTTACTTTTATGGCCTTTCGTGCAGCTGCTGAAGTGTTATAAATTACATAGACATACACACACATTTCTTTATGGGGCTGTATTCTGTTTCCCTTCTTTGTGCCAAACGTGATCACTCATTCACATACAGCCATAATGTGATGATCACCAGGTACACAGGTTCTTCCCAGCTGTTCCCTTTTATCTGAAATGTTTCTTTGAAATTCAAATACGTCTCTTATGAGTCTGTGTTATGACTTCTGTTTGAATGTGTTTTTTTTTAGCTTTGCCTTTGTAAGTAGTGTTATGCAAGCAGTATTGCTTAACTACCACTTTCTCTCTCTTACTTTCTCCCCTTTTATTCATCTATTTCATGTCATCACAGTCAGTGGGAAGCAAAGAGTTCATTGTTCCCTTCTTTTCAGTCAAAGCAACAGAATCTTATCTGCTTCTGCAGTCATTGTGTGAGCGGATGAGAGTGAGAGGAAGAGCAAGAAGATGTGAGAGAGCAAGACGAGCAGGAAGGAGCAAGAGAGGGTACAGAACAGAATATATTTACTAAGGTAAAAGCTATCACTCAGTATAAAATAGCCTGTGCAAAATTAATGATTCTCTGTTTTTAGCAATTTTTCTATTGCTTCATTAGCATGACAAAAATGTTGCATTTGCATTATCAAAAAGTTGGCTGGAGCCTGAATTATTAAAAAGCTAGACAACCATGAAGTTTAATATAATGTAATCATGTTTCATTTGTGTCAGTAGATGCTTGTGCCATTCCTGGTATTTTGCTCCATTTTATGATCTTTAATCAAATTAATTTAATAAATAATCAATACATTAATAAAAATCATTATATTTAATATTTTATTTATATATTTTTCTGTCTCTTTCTTTTGGTCTGCATGTCAATATAAATAACTTGAGTCATTGTGTCAAAAATATGTTATAATATAGACTATGTTCAAGAAAAGCTTGAATAATTTCTCTTAGTGACCATGTACAGCATTTTTATAGTTATGTAAGGGTTCTTGAAGTGATCCAAAGTGTATATTTATTTATTATTAATTGATTGATTGTCAGTACACACATTCCTCCTCATGACAGGTTATGTTTGACAAGCAAACAACCAGTTCCTTGACAAACCAACAGTCAGAGTAACTCAACAGACATGAAAACCTCAAGCTTTATGTATCAGTTGTTGAGCGTCATATTCTGAGTTGCATTATTTTTATTCATTTTGAGGAATACTGAATCTGTGTTTTTACTTTTTGGTGAGTGAGATAAATTAATGCATAATCATATTTATTTTAGAACTACAATATCATCTTCTGATTTCTCTCAACATGTGGACAGGAGAGCTGTCAATCAATAAATTGGAAAAAAAAAAACTTGCGTTACTTATTTGAAAAAGTAACTCAGATATTCTCTTGTAAATTAAAAAGTAATGCGTTACTTTACTAGTTACTTGAAAAAAAGTAATCTGATTACGTAACTCACGTTACTTGTAATGCCTTACCCCCAACACTGGTTGAGACGCATTTCTGATGTTGTTACAATGTATCAGTACAATGCTTTGAAGTTCTAGCTGGTCTCGAAAATGTTATATGCATGTTAATAATGCTTTTTGAGTAGTACACATTAAACGCCTTTGAAATGACAGGTAATCACTTTCTTTGTTATTTTCCTACATCTTACTGTTTTCATGTTTTTTTTCTGTTGTTATTTTTTCTATAAATAGTGCTTTATAATGGCAAGTGAAATCACAAAAATTTGAAGGACACCCCGAGGCATAAAAAGAAAATCTCACTAAAAATCCTTTTTAATGCATCCTCAATGGCATGTAAACATTCCCACTGTTTGTGTGCACATAAAGAGAATGAAAAGAAAATTACATAGTATTGTTCTGTATGTTTATGGACGCCACACATAATTTTAGCACCCATGTAAAAAATGTGTTGATGAACAGTTATGTATAGATCTGAATAAAGACATCACAATGCACGAGGGAGCAGAGATATCAGAAGATCTTTCATTGAGGAGCTGAATATTCAGTTCAAAGGGCACTGCACTTATGTTCTGTTGCTATGGTAACATACAGTAATGGAGAGTGTTTACATTATTCAAAGCTATAACACATGTGTATCTCATTAAGAAATGTACATGTATCACCATTCACCCAGAAGAGTGTGTGCTCTTACCCACACATAAGGACTCACCCACACACTTAGGAGTAAAGGAAGAGTTTGAGGGCCTTTTAGTACAAGTATACTATCCTGTATAATATAGACAATGGCTACTATAAAGGTTGCAGCATCTTAAACAGTATTAGAGTGCATGGGCTGAAAACTGAGATGACAGCCTTAAGTAAAGGAGACTGCATGGGCCAATTGTCACACTGAAGATTTTTTTTAAAATCTATATCAGTAACTGTTTTCAGTCAAAAGTCAAATTACATAAATGTATGTCCTTTCTAGCAGTGATTTAGCCCATTGGTTTCAAAAACTGAATACTGTCTGAAATAAAATAATATAAATACAATTCAATAAATTCTAATCTCCTATTTTTACATAGCTCTTAGAGAAGCAAGTGAACACAATAAATTCAGACATTCAAGAATCAGCTATATAATGAAGATTTCAACTGAAAGGTTTTTCTTATGTAGGACAAAGGTATGTTTTTTTAAAAGTTATTTTCTAAAATTACAATAAATATAAATATTTAAATATTTAATACAAATTTAATAAAGTATTTTATGTTAGTAGTGTTATGTGTTATGCATATATGCATAAATGATTTTTTTTTTTTTGCATTTTTGTTTTGGAATTTTTGCTATTAAATCAAGATTTTTTGAGCTTCATAATTGTTTTGCGGTTTACCATAACAGACAATTGTGACAGCTTCATACAGTGCCATGCTATCGATGCATGCTGTCACAAAAGGGGTGCAGACTGCAGTGACCTATATCTTTTTTTCTGGCCATTAATGATAGCTTTTGGTAGGCAGCACTTTAAGGTATGTGTCTATATATAAATTTACTTAAAATATTTCTAAACAAATAATAAAAATACAATCTGTGACAACTAGCCCCCGCTCTGCCTTATATTTATTTTCAGCCTCACTTGAAAAAAAACAAGACTCCATGTCAAAAGTATTCTCAGTGTGTCGGCCTTTCCAACATTTTAACTTGATGTAATATATTTTTTCCAATCCCACCACTCTGTCTGCTGCCCAATGATCACAGAGATTCACTTAATAATGTTAGGATGGCGAGAAACTGTTCCAAACTAAATTCTCTCCCTCCGCTGACATCGATATACAGCACGGCGTAAACAAGCGCGCGAGTCCCCCGCCCCTTCTCTCTCTGCGCGAGCTGCTGCCAGTTCCGCGTCGGCCGCGAGTTTACCAGCCACGCACTGCCTGCACGCGCTCAATCCGCCGCCGGGCTGCAACGATGTGACTCTCTCTGGCTTTCAGAAGCCCCTTTTTTCAGTCTCCATTAACGGCCCAGCACTGAGCGAGGCGAGGGGATTGTAACGGTGAGTGTATTTCGGATGGCCACGGAACGTGGGAATCTGCGCTACGTTAGCGGTTTGGGGGCACCGAACGTGTGTAAAGTTTGGGGAGGGGAGAAATTGTGTCATGTGGTACGACAGAGGCTGCTTGCCCGTCGGTCCGCTCTAGTGGAGCGGATAGATACATAATTACAGAATGTAAAAACGACGTCGCGAGACGAGCTCAACTTGCCATGTGTTATCATTTCCATGGGGATGACGTCACGCAGTCCTTGACGCCCGTGCGCGCGGCTCACGCTGATGAGATAACGGGACTGACACACTGCGCGTTTCGCAGGCACACTAGCTACACAGGAACAGGTCATCGGTTTATAATGCGTTTTAAAGGGAAAATCACAGTCCATTCTCGCTAGTTATTAATTACGTAGGAGCCTGTGAGTTGCTGTTTTTCTCTTTATACATATGTATTACATAAACGGCAGAGAGCATCGCAAGGACTACGTCGTCATGAGAAATGATTGACCGATGACGTTGTTTTTCTGAAATACTGTAACAATGCATGCTCATATGTAAATCTGTTTAAAAGTTTAACCCTAAGAGACCCATTTATATAGATGATGTATGTTATCTTTTTCTCGTTTAAAGTGGTTTTAGAAAGCTATTAGTTATAATAATCGTTATTTTGTTTTCGGGTTAATTTTGATATTGCAGAACTGTTGGGCTTTCACAACTGTTTACTATGCTTTTGGGGCATGTTGTCACAAAAAGGCCAGTGTGTTTAAAGACATGCATTCATGTCGGAGCAGATCCTGGGATATTCGTACGCCTTGCTTACTCTCCGTCAAGTACCAGAAATTGCATATTTAGAGACCTGTACTGATGTCCCAAACAATTTGGAGTAGTTTGTCTATGATTTACAATTTTTTCAGTGTTAGCATACAGTTCAGAGGGTTAAATAAGTAGTTTTTACTCATATTTACTAAAATAAACGTGTTATTAAATTGCATTGATAAAGTACTGCAATGTACCTACTGTACAACATTTAAAATAAACACTTCTAATAATCTCTATGTGATTAATATTATGCTAACCTACAACATTTACTACTGACCCACTAAAAATATTGTTTGATATTCTACTTTTTGGGAGACTTTGGTCAGTTCTGAAATCAGGCTCTTAAATATTCAATACTTTGCTATGTGTGCATTTGATGCAAAAGTAGGGCCTCAATGTCCTTGCTGAATCTGGTGGTTATATTGTAGGCCACACAACCTTAACATCAAGCCAATGAAAACTCAAAAGAACTCTTGAAATGACACACCCTTAGCTTTTCCCGTCTCTCCTGACAGGGACTTTCCTATGAGTTTTCAGACTGAAAGGAGTCCTGAACTCTGATACACTTTGACTAATTAAGATCAGCTCAAGTCTGGTTTGAGTTAGATTGGTTTCAAAATAGACTTTGTGGTGTAATCAGTTTTGATCCTTTGCTTGTCAAGTGGAGGCGTAAAGTATAACTGAAAAGTCACTAAAGCAGGTAACAAGTATTCCTAAAATTAACCTTTATATGTGCTTTTTAAACTAGGTTCACTCTTTTAACAGTAATGTCTTCAGATCGGAGTTACAGCTGCCTCAAAACCGAGGCGATGACAAAATCACCGTGGCAACCCTGTGTTGGTGCACAGGCAGCACTGTGACTCTAACTTGCGATCTCCTGACCTCTGTGACCTTTGAGTTGAGATGGCGACCCACCGAAAGCACCTGGTCCGAGATTTCAACCGATATATCACCTGCTCAATTTGCCGTGGGTACCTGATAAAGCCCACCGCTGTCACAGAATGCCTGCACACTTGTAAGTCATCCATGTCTCACACATTCTCTTTATGTCCCCTGCACCATTTCTCTTCTCTTTCTGAGAATAAAAACAAACAGAATATTTTGGAAATCTTCGCTATTAGAAATTTGTCAGAATAAACTGGCCTCTTTCTGGAATTATTTTGTTTCATGTGATGAGGTTAAGACTTGTGTATGGATCTATAGCACCTGCAAAATTTCCAAAAATGGCTGCTGCTATTGTCATTATTATGTAATGCGAAAATGGCAACTGTATGTCTCTTAGACCTGCCCATACCTGCTTATCTGACCTGCCTCATATCTTTACTGTCTCTAAAATCTATTTGTTTCACACTTAACATGCTTAACATCCAAATTCTTTGTTCTGACCTGATCCTCTCATCTCCAAATGTTTGGTAGATACAGCGGGGAGGGTAAGCAGTGGTTGTTTGTCTGAGAGCAGTGGGTCACTGAAAGTGACTTGATAACCTTTAAAAAAAAATCCAGTAGTGTAAGGGAGTGTCTAACTAAACTACAAATCCAGTGTTGTTATTGTTAGCTAAAACTAAAACCATTAAAAATTGTTTTTGTTAATTGAAATAAAGTTGAAATAAAATTAAATTTGAAATGTTGCCTAAGTTGAAGTTAATATAAAAACTGAAAATAAAAAAAGATATATCAAATTATTAATATGTTAATTGTATTAAAAAAAAGAGTATTAAAATGACACTTTAAAAAACTAACCAAATAATTTTAGTGAATCAGAGTTGGCTTTTTTTGTAGCGATATACAAAATATAATAATTGTACAATCAAATTGTTTGCTTATTTAATGCTGATGTTGGTCACTATTTTTACTATTTTTCAGTACTTTTACTTGTTTTTGCAATTTATGGTATTTTCTAGTTTTATTTGTGGTTTTGTGAGTAAATTGTGTATTGGTGGCATTTAGTTGTAAATTTATCTATTAAATATTTAATTATTTTAACTTCAATGACCTGTGTCATGTATGAGCTATTACAAAGTGAATGAAAATGGTTTGATAGTTTGAGAGTAATTTGACCTGATCCTCTCATTCTCTTGTTTCTCTTCTGTTTTTCCTTCTATTCTTATTCCACTTTCCTCTAGTTTGTAAGAGTTGTATCGTTCAGCACTTTGAGGAGAGTAATGAGTGTCCGGAATGTGGGATACAAGTCCATGAAACCAACCCTTTAGAGATGCTGAGGTACACAAACTCACCCACACTCATTTCTCACATGCACAGATTAAGTACACACACAAGTCCTATGTGTTTTATATGGTATCTTGGCCTTTCTTCTTGCAGGTTAGATAAGACACTGGAGGAGATCATCTTCAAGCTGGTGCCTGGGCTAAGAGAGAGTGAGTGTGTGCATATATATATATATATATATATATATATATTCACACACAGACATACATACTTTATTCTCTATAATGTGGTTGTTTATGTGGTCGTGTTTTGGTTAGTAAGGGTTTATATATCTGTAAACTGCTTCTTAATGTACTTTCTTTAAATGATTGTGTTTATTTACTAGAGGATGAACAACAGGAAAGTGAGTTTTGGAGAAAAAATAAGATCAAATCAAACGGAGAAGGTAATACTTAACTATTCCCTACACAAAATCCACAACCTCTCACGTACACAGTCACATATACACATACAGAATATACCAATATACTTTAAGGTTAAAGGTCAGATTTGCTTTGTCTATCTTCTAGATGGCCCTAGGGCTAAGAAATCTCGCCTGAGTGATGAAGAGGACGATGATGGGAAAGCTGGAGACTACCACAGGAGTGATCCTCAGATCGCTATTTGTCTGGACTGTCTACGAAACAATGGCCAATCAGGAGAAAGCATAGTTAAGGTACATATAGACAGTATAGTTCAAAATATGATATGTATATATTGGGATGTATGTTTGTGTGTGTGCATGTTTATAATTTGCACTCCTTTTCTCTGCAACAGGGTTTAATGAAGAAATTCATCCGTTGCTCCACTCGTGTTACAGTGGGAACCATTAAGAAGTTCCTCTGTGTAAAATTGAAGCTGCCAAGCTCTTATGAGGTAAAATACTGTTTTATTACTCTCTCACAGGGCTGTCAACACAGGCAAATGCTTCTGTGTGTGTATTGAGAGTTAATAGAATCAATACAGATATTAATTAATGAGCCCTTACCCAGCAGTTGTGAAACTTGATAGCCAATGAAAATTGTTTCTGAGGTTGTTCTTTCTGAGATGTTTCACTAAATGTGTATGTAACACAAAACATGCCATACTCTTTATGTGCCTATTATTTGATTATATGAAACATAATTTGCCTGCTTTTGACTCTGTACCCGTTACTTACAGCTCGATGTTTTGTGTAACGGAGAGATCATGGGCAAAGACCACACCCTGGAATTCATCTACCGCACTCGCTGGAGACTTCAGGGTGACAGTGTAAGTGCATATGTTTGTGGGTTAAGTTTTGTCAATATTGTTGAGAATGAATGTCTCTACAAGGATAGTAAAACCGAAAATCACCTACATTGTATGAACCAGCCCACAATCCCCAGGAGGAAAATGGCTTTTTAAACATCCTTAATAATGACTCAATAAAAATGTCAGGGTTCGTGGATAAAAAATATAATTAGCCCAGTATTACAACATCCGAAGTTATTAGAAAGTTACCACCATTTTTTTTTTGTCAATAATCCATTTCACTTGGATGGTTTACATGGACAACAATACTCCGATTTTAATACAATTAAGACAATACTCTGATTAAGAATCTACCATGTAAACAGAGATTTTTGATTACCTTAATCCGGCTTAGTCATATTATTAAATTAGTCATATAAAATTGCACTTAAAGCTTTCGTAAAATTAAAAATGAAACACCCAAAACTGTATATGGCATCATAACGAAAACGAACTATATGTTTATACGTGAAATTGGACGTGTGCCATTAATCCATCTATGTACTATAACATGTAAAACGGGAACATGAAAGGAATATTCTAAAAGTAACTCATGTAAACACCTTAATCGTAATATTGTCTTATTCAGAATAAGTTAAATAATTAGATTACTGATGTCCATGTAAACGTGACTAATATGGAAGAAAAGATCTGCTACTTCTGTTACATTGAATATTTAACAGTTTCCTTTAGTACAATGACAATATAAAGCTAATTATTTAATTCTGAAAACATGTTGTCTTAATAATGTAACTATAAATACACAGTATAAACAGGTGTTTATAAATGAAAGTCTATAGCCACCTTTATATTTTAGGAAGGGGGTCATCATAATTTGGTATCTTTGGCATCAAAAAGTTTGAAAACCCCTGCACTAGAACTTTGACAAATAAATTATTGAAAAGTTAATTTGAGCCTGAATATGTGGGTGTGTTTGAATCTGTGTGTAAGTGTGTGTGTGCTCATGAGAAGTGTGAACAGCTGCCGCTGAGTTGGTGGTGATTGTGGGGGGCAGGAGCAAAAAAAAAAAACTGTTCACAGCTACTGACAGATCTATGAGTCATATTTCTCCAGTTACACACACACTAGAGGTTGACACAAAATCAGAGGACACATCGATGCCCCTAGGTTTGTGTCCTTGCCTTTTACACCACTAGAGAGTAAGATAGAGAACTATGATGATATAATGAAAATGATACCCTGCTTAAATTTGAATATTCAAAGTCATTCTTTACTTTCGTTTGCACCCCAGGCTTACCCCATGGTTCTCGAGTATCGCCCAAGGATCGACTTTGGTTAAACAGCACTTACGGCTTTGCGGAAATCTCATGCAGACTGATGTCAAGAGATGAACAAAAAGCAGAAAAACTGAATGATTGTGCCTCCGTTGAAAGACAACAACACAAAGCCCATGACTGACAGGACTGCTCTCTACTTCCTGTGCACTGCTTCAGCCTCTACTCCTCCATTCCTCCCTCTTTCAATTTCCTGTTTGACAGTTGTGGCTCCACCAACTGGCACTGTATCAAGTTTATAGATTATATTCCTCCAAAAGCTTTCTCTGCATGTTGTCTCTATGATGACGACTTAGCCTAGAGTGGCCTGTTGGGATTATCTGATAGCAATCTAGCACAGACAGTAAGCTAAAACTCATCGCAAAGATGCATCCCGACCAGGTGACAGGAGTGAGGAGAAATGGAGACATTTTTAAGATGAAGTCTCACTAGATTTTAGATTGTTTTATTAGGCGATTTTATCCAAGAGTTTGCACTAGAGGCAAATCCAGATGTCTCGCTGTATTGTTGCTGTTCTGTATTACCTTTCCTTTTGGTTACTTTTCTCTCTTGCTCTCACCGCCCACATTGTCCCTCATAAATTCAGTGACTCTCTTTCATGTCATCATTCTCTCTCCCTTTCGTTCGCTCACACACACAAACTCACTCTCTCTTTCTCAGCCTCTTTCCATCTTCCCTCACACTCTCTCATTTTTCTCCAATGGTGTTTTTGGCTCTGGTCTGAAGTATTGATGGATCTCATTCAGTTGGAATTGAATGAGAGCGCTGTAGATGTCCCAAATAACAGCACTGAAAGGCACTCTGGGTAAGCGATTTTCCTTCACATAGAGCTATGGCCAAATCTTACATTCACCCAAACTAGATCATTATCTTGATAGAATTGATATAACAATAACTGATGCCAGATATGCTTAATGCAGTAATCCACTGAGAAATCTCATCTTTAAAAACAGTTGAATGGGGAATGACTGAAGTGTGCCAGCTGCATCTCTCTAAGAGCAGCTTTGTCTCACAGGCTGCTAGTTGTAAACATTCTGTTCCCTTTTTTAATCAGACATATATTTAAATGAGATAAAACAATCAAATTCACCTCAACAGACATTTGAATTTTAAAAGCAGCACCCGGATTGTTAATAATGCACTTTTAACTGTATTTTGAGTGTTGTGCAGCAAATTAAGGCCATGCATTTTATGCAGTTTGTGATGTCTGCAAAAACAACTGTGCAAGGGACATGCCAAAAATACATTTGGTTACTTCCACAAAGTGTAAGAAAAGTCAATATCTGATATTTCTCAATGTGCTTCTCTACTACACAACATGGACATGTTTGTGAGGAGAGAGTTTGAGATTCAAACATCATGTTTTAAATATTCTAGTTAAGAGTGTTATTTTGGAGCATTAGTTCAGATAAGGTCAGAGGTTAACTTTCTAAGTTTGTTTACATGACAATGTTAATCTTTAATATGTATGTGTAGTAGATAGGAATATTCCATTTGAACAAATAATTACAAGAAAGAAGTGAAGACCAAACTGAAAAAGTTGCCAAACTGATTTTATGCACATTCCCAGAATGCATTTTGAGAATTAAGGGTTCAAAACATGGAGCTTTTCCAATCCAGATTATATGATGGTACTCAACATAGAACAGAAATACATGAATTATTATTAAGTGAACCTTTGTTTTGGATAATCTCAGGGGATGACACCTGGTGAAATGAGGGTTTGTTCAATGTTTTCCATTTCAGTTTTGGAATCAAGGAATCATAACAATGGGTTTTAGAAATTAGAAAGTCACTGCAGTGCTGGAAGTCAATACAGTTAATCAAAAGATACATATAGAATAAAAATGAGACAGATTTTCTTGGCAACACCGTTTTCAGTGGTCTGTATTCATATACCAATAGTGGAAATATATTTGTCCAAATGTTTCTTATGGCAAGCTAAAACTTCATGTTATACCAACATGATCTGTTGTACTGAATCTTAAAAATCATCTGCACTCTCTGTCAGTTCATTGGAATTCTTGATGTTTAGGACAAAGGCCACTGGCTGCTTTCCAAAATCCAATTTCCTCCCCTCTAAGAAAACATGCAAATCAAATATGAAGTGTCTTTGATCTCTAATTATAAATACAATGTATTTTTGTATGTTGAAGCACTTATGTATATTTGAACCTGTAATCAAAAGATTTTGTCAATGCTTGTCTTTTTCCTAATAGATGGTGCTGCTTGGGGTAATTTATTCTTTTTTTATACGTCCCACCGCCTGCTATATGTTCCCCTTGTAAATGTTCGCACTGTACATGAAAAGCTTCCTAATGCTGTTCATGACCTATTGTTATTTAATTAATGAACATTAAAATATGAAAAAATAGCGGATATTTTCTGTAATTTCTTTGACTATAATCCAGAAACATTTTATTTTGCTGATAAAATTCTGAAGTCTATTATACTCGCATGACAGTTTATCTTGCCATTGGATCTAGTACACGTCTTAGATTGAAAGATGTAAGAAATCTGCATTATTCATATTAATATGGCCTTACAGACTAATACCTTTGAAGCTGTCCAAAGGCATTCTCTAAAAACACCATTTCATGTATGAAATGATATTAGTGTGCGAGTTTAAATCTGACAATGAAAACAAAGACAGGAATGTGCCTTCTTTTAGACCGTTTCTATGCACAGCTCCCTGCCTCTCTTTCTCACTCACTTTTTTCTCCCCTACTCATGCACAAGGAAGTGGAATGTGACATGCATTCCTCTGTTAGTCTGTGCATCACTTGTTCAGCTGTCTGTTGGCCCTGCTGTTCATCTTACAAAAGAGAAGGTCAAAAATACTTCACGTAGGACAAAGGCAACACATACTTAACCACAGATATGTCCACATGCCCAGCAACATTTATTGAAGTTACAAACTTCAGTGTTTAAAGTGTATGATTTAGGATTTTGGAAGAACAATGTCAGCAATAATGTTTTTGGATGTTTGCATGTGTTTGCAGAACCGTGAAAGAAATCAGTTACCCAAAATACTTTAAATGTGACATCTACATAATATGTTAACATCAACAATAGATCCGAATATAAATATGTCCAAAACACTCATGTTCATCACACATACATATGTAAATAAACAAAGAAAGCCTGCCACTGTCTCTCTTTTTAGTCTTCTCTTTCATCATGGCATATCACAGCAACTCTATTTTCAGTCAGGATGAGTTAGAGAGTTCACAGCTCATTTGTTAAACAGAGAAAGTGAGACTGAATCCCTCCGCCCCCTGCTAACACTCCAACATTAAACCATTACTGAATAAAAGTGAAGCACATTATAAACACATGCGCAAATGCTGGGAGTTTTCCTCTTATTTATAATGGATATATCCCCAAGCGAATATATCTAGTAGTGTTTAAAGCAAGTGATTTTTTTTAATTTTTTTTTTTAGAAAAATTAAATGTAATTGCAAGAAAATTGTTGTTTCCAAACAGGTTAACACAGCCCCGCTCCTAAGCTCACATTGGCTGATGTGGGCATAGGGCCGGCTCCAATCTAAAGAATCTACATTACAATTTTAATTTCAGTACCCATATTACACAAAATCTGCTCTTAGTTCCATACATTCATGTGCTTTTTTTCCCATACCTATTCTCTATCTTTGATGGTCACCATTAGTTTTATCAGTGCAACACAAGGCCATCTAAAATGAAATGTTTAGAAACAAGATAAGAAGAGGGCAGGGAGATGCAAACTGCTGTTTGATCTTTTATCCTCTCTACTTATTGCTGCTTTGTTGCATCATACGGTTGCTGTGTGTATTAACCTGTTAATATCCATAGGCTAATTACATCATTCATGAAAGTCACAGTCATATTCCCTCCTGAATGCTGTCCAATGATTCACTGACACAATTGTTCTTTTATAGACCTGTCACTGGCCAGACACTGGAGCTGATCGCTGGGTGTATTCTGGTAGCACTGTGTTCATTTGGATCTTGTTAACATGGATGATCTACTGTAATTGGAACCTCTCTAATCCAAGAGGCTGCTGTCAATCATCTTCTTTCTCTACTTATCTCACCTTTTCCTCATATGAAGTCATTAGGTTAATGTCAGAGATCTCATGACATTCCATATTTAGACCTAAAGAACAAGCCACATGGCACTAATAAGATCATATGACATCACAGTGTTGTGCTGAGTTACATCTCACTGATGATATCACCACTGTGCCAAAGGTCAAGATTAGAACATATTTATATGGCAAAGCAGTGCATGTGCGCATAAATATATATATTTATGCTTGTGGGTTTTTATCAGTTAGCCATCTAAATGAACTGGTTTATATATTGTTACAATATTACTTTTTTGTTTTAAATAAACACTGTTCTTTCGAAACTTGCTGTTCATCAAAGACTACTGAAAATCAATCATCATGGTTTCCACAAAAATATTAAATACATTAATATGGTACTATACTCAAATTATTTTAGTCCAGGCTTAAAATGCAACACCCAGTTTGATACATTGTGTAACAGGGGGTCCCTTCTCCACCTCTATATCCAACAAGAGGTCCTTGGCCTGAAAAGGGTTGAATAACCTTAAGTGTTAATTCACCTGTCAAAGAGATGATTTGTATTAAATGTATGGCACTTGTCCAGGTCATCTCACTTTAAAGTTCTTACAACTGAGCAGTGTTTTCAGATAGAAGCAGTCTAATTGCACTTTAGGATGTCTCACCAGTGCTCATTCCCTGCCAGAACCACCAGCATCTGAATCCTGTTCAACTTCACAGCACTGCTAATGGATCACCTTCTCCTTAACAACGTTATCCAGCTCCACTCCCCAGCCAGGACATTGCACATAGGTGCATTTCAGACACACTTTTCCAACCAGATTGCCTCTTTTACCACATCGTAAATTCTCGTTGTTCTGGCTTGTTAGACCACTGAAATGCTGTCATTTTATTAATCTGGATGCTATAGCCACTCACGTAGCAAACAAACTGTACAGCATTTTTACTTTTAAAACATGTTTAAAAGAATTTACTGGAGTTGTACTGCACAGTGAATGTGTAAACATTTGTATTGCATTGAAATGTGATTAAATTTAATGTTAAAAATCTTAGGAGAGACAGAGAAAGTGTACAGTAGTCTGTGGTGATTTGTGGCGCTCTCTGCTGTTTGAAATAGGACTTATTCAACATTTATCATGCGAGTCCGCATGGAAGGTGCAGCTTTTTCCACAGTCTCTATATAGTGACTTTATTATTATTATTATTATTTATGCGTAAAGAGTTACTGTAGATTTCGCTTGTCCACTTACTGAAGCTAAAGCGACTTGGTCCTTACCTTACCTCAATGGGAAAGCTAATATTTGCAGCTGGAAAAGCCCTCGGCCGGCAGGGGGTGCTCATTCTGTAGTTTGTGAGATGATAATACCGTAGGCAAAAAGGGTAACACTTTACAATAAGGTTCATTAGTTTACATTAGTTAACTACTTTAGTTAACATGAACTAAGCATGAACAATACTTCTACAGCATTTATTAATCTTAGCTAATGTTAATTAGTTTTGTAACCTTTTCCAGCCTGATGAGCAATAGCAACTCTTTTGTTTGTGCCATACACTTCCACAAACATGATCAGACTTTGATAGATCCCTGTTCATAAAATAAAACAGGGCACGCGCTGATAGTCCTCCCTTTGATTGAAAACACCTCTGAACAGATGGACTCTTATTTCACCTTCAAATTACTGCTAATCATAGAGATTCACATACTTTTGCCACTCACAGATATGTAATATTGGATCATTTTCCAGAAAAAATAAATGACAAAGTAAATATTTTTTGTCTCAATTGTTTGATTGGGTTCTCTTTTGAACCATATCTTTTGGGTCATATTTATGCAGAAATGTAGAAAATTTTAAAGGGTTCACAAACTTTCAAGCACCACTGTATATATTTAACATATATTGTGTCTTAGCTGTGGGCTTTTATGTTGATATGCTTAAGTTCGTACAATTCTGACTGATCCACTGGAAGCAGCCAAAACCAACAAACTACTCACATATTAAAGTTCAAACATCTCTGGACACAGCACCTCTTTGACCTGAATTGGCATCAGTTTTTTTTTTTTTTTGCATGTTATATAATCTGCTTTTTGTGTTTGTTTATGTGTGTTTTTGACATTTTGGTGTAGTTGTCCTGTTTTTGCTGGTGTTTCAGAACAATGCTGTGAACCTCATATTATAGGTTATAAGACTTGGGTGCCAAATTTCACCCCCATTAACAAAATAGAAGTAAAAGTCTTAGATAGTAGTATATTTCAAGTTTATGCAAAGCTATTTAGATAACACAAATATAATTATTATATCTTTGTGTGCAACCTGACATGGCCACAAGGGCAATTTAGCTGAAAACGTTTTAGTAGACTAACATACGATAACTAATATTAGTCATCTAAAGAATACACTACACAGCTTTTAAAACAAGAACATATTTTAAAACAATATCAGCACAAGAACTGCAGTGGGAGCTTTATGGAATGACTTTCCATTGCTAATCAGCTGCATGCAAGCCTCACATCACCAAGAACAATGCCAAGCGTTGGATGGTGTGGTGTACAGCACACCGCCACTGGACTCTGGAGCAGTGGAAACCTGTTCTGTGGAGTGACGAAATAGGTTTCTCTGTTTCACAGTCTGATGGGCAAGTCTGGGTTTGGTGGATGCCAGGAGTGTGGAAAAACTTGAACTACACAGAGCCCTGATCTCAACCCCGTCGAACACCTTTGGAATGAACTGGAATTGAAATTACGAGCCAGGCATTCTTGTCCAACATCACTGCCTGACCTCACAAATTCTCACAAATGCAAAAGTTCCCACAGGAACATTCTAAAATCTTGTGGAAAGCCTTTCCAGAAGTGTGGAAGCTGTCAAGTCAAGTCAAGTCAAGTCACCTTTATAGCGCTTTATACAATACAGATTGTGTAAAAGCAGCTTTACAGTGCTAAACAGGAAAAACGTGTGCTGATAATGCAAGAGCACAACAGAAAACAGTCAGTTTATCAGTTAAAGTCAGTTCATTGTTGATTCAGTGATGTCATCATCCAGCTCAGTTCAGTTCTCTTCAAATAGTGTCTACGCAGTCAAGTCAACAATGTTGCCAGAAATTGTGTCCCCAACTAAGCAAGCCAAAGGCGACTGTAGCAAGGGACCAAAACTCCATCGGTGACAGAAATGGAGAAAAAGATCCTTGGGAGAAACCAAGCTCAGTCGGGGGGCCAGTTCTCCTCTGGCCAGACAAAACCAGCATGTTGTGGTTTAATTCCAGGCTGCAACGCACGTCACATTGAGCAGAGGACTCGTCTGGTTCTCGTGGTCTTGTGCCGATGGCCGATGAGGTCTTCACAAGGGATCTGTCTCTAGGGTTTGTCTAGT